GATACACACTGATACACACACTGACTCACACACACTGATACACACACACTGACTCACACACACTGACACACACAGTATTATAGAGACATAAAATAATTCACAATGTTGTCGTTAGCCAACTAACATATCCTCTCAGTATTTTTCTAGTAATGTTATCCAGCTCGTGCAGTCTGGATGAAGCTAGCTGATGTTAACCGCTCATGTCGTGGGGCTGCCAACAGCAGATAACGGTATTCAGTGTGGCTGGGTTCTCATAATACATTTTCATAAACAAATATTGGGGCAAACTCGCAAGCCAACATTAGCTTGCTTGGTCGACAACATTATTCCTCACAAACACTATCTGACTGGATATGTTGGCTAAAGTTAGCTTCCCCAGCTAATGTGATCCATGATACTATCTTATTCTGACAAACGGTGTTGATTTTAGCCAACAATAAAATTATGAAGCGGTACAAAGCTATATGTGTATAGCTAACGAGTTAGCCAGCTAGTAATTCATCTGTGTTAACACGCAAGTGAACATTAGCTATCATTGTCCAGCTAAAAGCACAATATGACAATATCTTCCCCAACTTTGTAGTAATGTTAGCTTTGACTTTGGACTGTGTTGTTTGTAGACGTTAGCAGACTCCATTTTGTCTCTCCCTTAGTCTCCACTTGTTTCCTCCACAATGAGCAGCTGCAGTCACATCAGTGCTGAATTACTGGAGTTCAGTTTCAGAGAGTCAGTGTGACTTTTCCTTCTCTTCAGATTCCTCAGATCTCTCCAAAGCTGACTCTGTAAACTGTATTTACTGTATCTTACGTATATAAAACACACCTGTGTGTCCTGACGTCCGTCTGTCTCTGCACATATTGAACACACCTGTGCATGTTTCTGTGCAGGTCCTGATTAACCCGGTTCCATCTTATGTTCTTAAAGTTTGACTTTTCTTTCAAGAAGGGAAAATACTACCGACTTTTCCAGTTAAATAGTTCCAGAGAGCACAGCTGTAAGACACGTCCAATCAGGGACTTTATTATATATATAATATTCATTATAATATATATTATATATGAATATTATAATAATATTCATTATATATTATATGTGATGCATATTATAATATATAATGAACATTATAATATAATTCGACTGAGAAAGAGAAACGTTAATGTAAACTGTTGAGGACCCAGGATTGACCCCTGTGGTACACCGTAGAGGACAATAATTGACGATCTGTCAAAAGTCAAATAAAGAACTTTTAAAATCGGTTAAAGACTTCATACATTAATAGATCGATTCAATTATTCAGAATATAAAATATTAATATTTTCCTCCAGACTCACTCAAACATAAAAATTAAATTAATTTACTCACTGATGATGTAATTAAGGTATTATAACGTGATCAATTAATGAATGAATTGGCTGTAATATGTCAAAGTAAACTTTATAAAATAACTGTCAATAACTTTACACATTGAACACAGTTCTTTCATCAATATTAAAGGTTTTTATTTATTATATTATATTCAGTCATTTTACAGACCTTAGCCCCGAACTCGGGGACAACTCTTGAATTTGCGTATTGCGTTTATGTAAATAAAGGTTTTTTACCCTTTAAAAAATATTGAATTAAGTTAAAAGTCATTCCTTCTTGAAATCTCCTGAATTACTTAATTAACCCTCCTGTTATCCTTTGTCATTGAGGTCAATTAAACCTCCTGAAATCAATTAAAGTTGATGTGTCAGCAGACGGTCTAAATGTTTTTTGACCAGTGTGGAAACATCAAAGTCCTCGAAGGAACTAAGACCCGAACAAACGGCCCTTTCCACCGAATCGGTGCCTTTTCCGTCTCTTACAGGTATAAATATGCATGAAAACTATCAGTCTGTATAATACTTTATATTATTAATCAAAGTGTCTGCACTTTGAAAATCATTCATCCGGACACATGACAAACAGGAAGTACATCAGTGGCGTATAACTGAGAATGTCTCACGTGTTATAATAACATAATTAACGTTTATATTATTTTTATCAATATATTATTATGGATTTTATTAAAGCACCTGAAGCTGCTCAGTGCTCTCAGACTATTAGCATTGATGCTAATGTGGGTACATTTCATGTATTTACTTAAAATAAAAAATTAAATCTTCCATTTACAAACGATATAAAACATGAAGACATTGTCCAGAGATAAATAAATAAACAATTACGTTTCATTTTGATGTACAACTTGCTAATGGCCCCAATTCTACGGAGAATGTTTCT